CACAAGAAATAAAGCACCTAGTGTGATTTCCCTAGCACACTGTCCCTGTTCCTGACAAGCTGCAATTCAAGAGCTTGCTGTGCAAGGCTTGTAGTCATATCAGTTTTCAGTACTTCTTGACAAACTGTTCTTCCATGATTTTTTCTTAAAGCACTTTGCGTTCTGTGGCAACGACCTATATAGCTTAATTGTACAGAATACATAAAAAGTATTTTTGTTTTAAATATTGCTTGATATCCTCACTGGACACACTGTATGTCTTGTATTGTGAGAAATATGAGTAAATGCACCCTCTTCACATTACTTACCACTTGTAAGATCTACTGTGCAACGCCCTTTCCAAACTGGAAAGTCTGTAGTAATCCTCCCACAGGCAGCTTCCTTTAATTAGTCAAATTTGATCAAGACTGACTTGTCAGGGGTATTCCAAGACCTTTCTGTCAATATAGCAAAGCTAAGTGTACAAAGAGCCACTTGTACACAATGGGCAGAGAAACGCAAGTATGGAAGATTTGAAATGCAAGCATGGAAGATTTCTGTATCACGGATTATTTCTGGAATGCTTCCAGGCACCTTGAATCACCACTGGAAAAATCACTTGCAGAATGGGCCAGGAAGATGTACAGCACAAGAATCATGTGGAACTCTATGCTGATTTTGATATAGCAAAAACACACTATCGGCACAAGGAGCGAAAAGACAAATGTCATCAGTATCTTTTGCTGGTACAGAGACCCAGCTTACCAGCTGCTGCTGTGTACCACTAACCTGTATATATGCTACCTGAATTCCCACAAGAAGCCGGGCAATTAGAAAATAACATTTGAATGCAAATCTGGGCTTCTGAAAGCAAAAGAGTCCTCAGTGTGCAGGGAACGAACTCTGTCATGCTGAGGCTGCACACATCAGGGGCCAGGGATTTGGCAAATTTTGTATGGCAGAATCTTGAGAGACATGAGCAGGTTTTTAAACATTTCCAGGGCACCTGGGTTTCGGTTTTTGAACAAACAAGCAGGTATGTCTGATCAGCCTTCGCAAAGCTCCTCTCATCCCACCACAGCCCTTCATTCCTGATTGCCTCCTTCAATATTTTACTTATCTAAAAGCACGAAATGAAATCAAGTATGTTAAACAGCCAGAATTTTATGATGCAAAATAAAAAGCTCTGCAAAAACTCCAGGCAGAGGAGAATATAATTAGGACAATTGAAATGAGAAAAAGGATCTGAAATGCTTGGGAAAAAAAAAGTATTAAAAGGGATAGTCTGGCAGAAGAGAGATAGCTTACAGCTACTAGTAACAACTGAGGTATTAGAGAGCAGAGGGAATATTTCAGTCTTTCAGAGCAAGTACTGCTTAAGGCCACAGACAGGTGAGCCTGAGCTGGTGACAGCAGAGCCGAGGTGAGTGCTGGAGCACCAAGCAAGGAGCCAGCACACAGACTAGGAGAAGGCCCCTCAGTGCCCAAAGAGAGGAGCTGTGCTCTTAATCCCAGCAACCGAATCCAGGGCGTTACTAGTCCCTGATCTGGTTTCCAAGAATCAAACTTTTTTGGTAGTCTGCAGCACCCCAGACTAATAGGACTGGGATGGGAGGGAGCACTAACTACAACGCGTGGCTCATCGCCAGGCTTGGAGAATCACAGTCTTCCTCAGCAGGACCGATGGGGAGAAGAGGCTCCTGCCTTCCAGCTGCCTGCCTGTCCTGACAGAGACGTAAAACTTGCACAGCCCAACTCGGAAAGTTGCAGCTACAAGGGAGCGCAGTGCCCTGCCAGCAGCAGCTGCCCTGCTGGCTTCCTTGCCCCTGACCTTGCCTTCGGACCCGCAGGTTTGTCCATCTCGCCGGCAGCCCCAGACAGCCATCTGCTGGGCAACCGCGCCACAAACCAGCCTGGAACAGCACCCAACAACCGGCAGGGTTATGCTTCAGTTCTTCCTACCTCCCTGCGAGGTGAGGAGCTCAACAGGGTGCATTTGACGGGGCAGCTGGAACAGGCAGCGTTAATCAGTGTCTGGAATTTTAAGGAGATGCACGTCTGTCCCTCCCAAGAAGCATCAGTATTTCCAGAACACATTAGTAAAACAGAAGGAAAAAATCCAGCCTTGTTACACTTCTTAAAGCTGAAAGTTGCTTCCAGGCACCACAGCCCCAGCGCAGAAGCCAGCAAGGCAGCCAGAGCAACCAGGGATCCAAAGCAGTTCAGGAGAGCATTTGGCAGGTTGGCAGCACAGAGCCATAACCGCAGACCTGGTCCTCTTGAAAGTAGTTTGCATTTAGCCTCAGTAAAGCTAGAATTGTGTTGAAAATTATTTGAGGGGTTAATGTCCTTTAATCACCGTTTCTCTGAACCAGTATTAACTCGGTGTTCGTGCTTTAAGTGCTTTGGTCACCCATAGCTGCAGTGACTTCGGGAAGCAGGAGCAGCAGCAGGTTCCTAAGCAGTGAGGAGTGGGGAAGGCCCACGGTGGGTAAGGCAGCAGCAAGAAGGTGGAGGCAGCTCCAAGTGACTGAGATTTTCCCATGCCAGGAGCTACCCCATTGGTTTCCCACCCCCACCCTGTAAAACCCAAGAGTTGGACTCCGGGGAAGGCAGGTTCCCTTTTGGTCCTTCCAAAGCACTGGGAGGGAAAGGAGGACTCAAGGTTGCTGCAGAGCACTGCGTGGAAAGTTTTCAGGGCTGACCCTGCCTGTGGAAAGCTGAGGTGAAGACTGTGTCCTTATGGTACAGGCCAACAGAGCGCACCAGACCAAGGACAAACTCTCGGCCCCCTTTCCTGTGGGCCATCAGGACAGAAGCTTTCCTTAAGCTTCCCCATAACTGTGTCCAATCCTCTCCCTAGAAAACACAGAATACTCTCCAGAAGCAAGATGTGTTATTTAGCATCTGGCTTTATAGTTAAAAAGCTGTACCCGCAACACAGCACCTAACAGGACTTGTATAACAAACAGGGGAAGTGCAGAACATTCATTTCCACAGCTCATGGCAGAAATCCAAAAGCTAAAAAGCAAGGAAGGGGTTAACCATTAAACACAACACAGCACAACTTACTTCCCAATCACATCTCAGAATTAAGAATCCGAAAACCAAAACTAACCATGCATGACCATGCGAGAAGCAAACAAACCGAAGCACACATTCTAGCCAAGCAGCAGCTAGCTTTATTGAGTTCCAATAATACTGCATCAAAACCAAAAGAAATTAAAGTTGCTCGTTGCTTCTTAGCATTAGTCATTTCTCAAATAAAAACATGATCATGTTTAATGATATTAAAAGAAAACCAAGGAACAGGCACAAGAACAAAGTTAGACAAGACTGCAGAGCCAGCGTCTCCTCCATGTACCCCCCCTCGTGTCAGAGAACTGAGTTCTTAGAAGTACTGTGAAATTTTCTCAGGTCAATATCAGAGATTGAATCTCAGAATACAACATCTGATGAATCAAATATATCATGGGTTGCTATGAACTGTGCTGTACTTTTGAAATCGCATTTGGGATATCTTCAGTGGGACAGAAAGGGATTTCAGAGAAAAGTTCAGGTTAATCAAACCCATTTCCCCACTGGCTGCCTCGGTAAATCTTAGTAGAAACATTAAGCATAATTCTTTTTCCCCTCCTAGTTCCACAGAAAAGATCAGCGTGCAAGATCTGGTACGGTAGTACCTGTAACACCCCTCAACCCACTCAGATGTAGCTCTGGCCTGCCCTGCCTAGTCCTGTGTTTGCTGCATTGCATGCATGTAAGATTAAAACCACTGTCAATACAGAAATACTTAAACAAAAAATACTAGAGACGAGAATGCCATCTGACATTGCTTGTAGACACTAGTATGTCCAGCTGCTAACTTATGCCCTGAGAGTTAAGTATGCAGTGCCAAACAATTATTTTAAGGAAGTTTTTCAGCATTAATAGCTACAAGTTTCTTCAGTAAATAAAGAATTACATTTTAAGAAGTGTCCCCTTCTTCCATGAGGAAGTACTTAAGGTAATGTGTGTAATAGTGACAGCTGTCTGTTAGCAGCGTTACTGCTGTGGTCCATCGGCTCAGAAGACAGGTGTATCACCTCTAACTCCTCATCAGCTGTTTCCGAGCTACAGCTTACATTTCAAAAGGCACATAGCACCACCTAAAGAACGTGAGGAAGGCAAAAAGGTATTAGGCAAGCAATCATTCCTGAAACTTCAAGTGATCATTCATTTATTCCTCTGAGGCAGACTTGCACTCTCTTTCTTCTTTTCTCTAATTTCCAAAGACTTCCTAGTCTTCATAGACCTGGTGCAATCCAGTTAAGAAACTTCATAGCAACTTCAAAACCAAGAAAACATGCCTGGAAGAGAGAGAACACACAGAACAAATAAGTTTTTTGAAATGCAGCACTATAAACACCTGACATGGCTGATGTGGAAGGAGGAAAAGAACAAAAAAAGGTCTTGGACCAGAGGCAAGAATTCTGCTATAACCCTCCACACAAAGGCAGAACTTCTACTCTGTTAGGCTCGTTATTGATTGAAGGGGAAGACAGTCCAAACTTATCCACTGTCTTCTACTGGTGGATGTACAATGAGCAGCGAAAAGCTATTGGAGAAAGTCAACAAAGGGCTCTCACACAAAGCTTCAAAAGGTTTACTTGGTGTTCCTCCTAGATTAAGATATATTTTTAGAACCTGGACAGCAACAGCCAAAAGTACCTGCAGCGACAAGAACCTCGCTGAAGTGGCACAACCATAAGCAGACAATCATCTCCTCTACAGACTGCAAACATCCACTGCGAGTGGCCAGGTCCCCGAAATCCATCTGGACTCGCAATTTACGTACCGCGTTGGCAGGAAAGGCCCTGATCATTACAGCTGTGAAGCCCTTATACAGAGATGCAACTCCTTCCTCTCTGATAAGCTCTCTCAGCACGTCTCTAAAGCCGTTTGGGTATTTTCCTGGAGGGGCTGAAAGGGATACAAAACACGTGAGCTAAGATGTGTGACAGTCACAAGTGCTGAAGGACGTGGCATATGTAACAGCCCAGGATTTTCAACAGGTTCATATTGCTACACCAGAATCCACGCATTGCTTAAGCTATGCTGTGACAACATCTGCTTGGGAAAATGATCTATTTTGGTCAAAAGCAAGCAAACGAAAAAGACATCTTAAAGACTCAGTAAACAGAAGGCAGGTGCTCACCATCACCACAAAGAATTTATGTCATCATGTCACTGGGGGGCAGGGAAGAAAGGAGAAACACTTTTGTCAGGGTTGGAAGTCTGAGGTGCTATTTGCACTGCTAATCACAACTCTCCCAAGAGCTGCAATTAGGGGACAGGAAGGTCAGACGTAAAAATTGAAGAATCTGGTTTATAAGAAACAGAAAATGATCCTATCACACGCCCCAGCCAAGAACAGCAACAGACTTTAAGTGAAAAGCACAGGCTGATTCAATGCTGATGTTAACACAGATTTGATGAGGTGTTTTTAAAAAGTTAATTCTATTCAAAGAACAAGTTCTTCCTTCTCCTGATACTTCTCTGGGAAGTACTGCCTCTGTCAGCCCTCTGAACCAGTACTCCACAAAACAATCCAGTGAGACAGAACCACCATTAACCCACATCATCTATACAGCAGCACTGGGGATTGGCTCAGTGGAACAAGGATGCAGACCTGTAACGTATTTCACACTCAACCCTTGGTACGGTAGCAAACAACGACAGCAGCCATTATTCAGAGAAAAAGAAGTTTCCTGCACTAGATTATCATGATCTGTAACTCAAGAAAATTGGTTACTGTCCAGTGGAGAGCTGAGTCCACAGACAGAGACCACAGGGAGCCTTAACAAAAATAATTCATCGACGAAGACTCCCAGAGAAACCAATGAAAAACCTGTCAAACTTCGCTGAAGCGTATGGCCTGGGGCCATCCTCACTATAACTAGGGCACAGACACTTAAGAGCAGAGCTGCTACTCTAAAAGCAATGCTCTCAGCAAGGCACACCCAGTTACTATAAATTTCAGATAGCACAGGCTACAATTTATACTATGCCTGAAGTGAAATAACAAAACCTCTCAAATAATTACATTTGTAATAAAACAGCCATGACAAGCAGTTCTATGATTATGAGGTCTATGCTTAGGTTTCAAAACAGGTATCTCAAATTGGGATTGTTATAGAATCATACAACAGACTCACGAAGGTTGGGAAAGACCTCTGAGATCATCAAGTCCAACTGTCAGCCCAACACCCCCATGCCCACTAAACCATGTCCTGAAGTGACACATCTGCACGTTTTTTTAACACCTCCAGGGCTGGTGACTCCACCACATTCCCGGGCAGCCTGTTCCAATGTTTGACCACTTGTTCAGTAAAGAAATTTTTTCCTAATATCCAATCTAAACCTCCCCTGGTGCAGCTTGAGGCCATTTCCTCTTATCCTATCACTAGTTACTTGGGAGAAGAGACTGAGCCCCACCTCACTACAACCTCCTTTCAGGTAGTTGTAGGCAGCAATAAGGTCTCCCCTCAGCCTCCTCTTCTCTAGGCTAAACAACCCCAGTTCCTTCAGCTGCTCCTCGTAAGACCTGTTCTCCAGACCCTTCACCAGCTTCGTTGCCCTTCTCCAGGCCCGCTCCAGCACCTCAATGTCTGTCTTGTAGCGAGGGGCCCAAAACTGCACACAGTATTCAAGGCGCAGGGAGGCAGAAACAGAAGTGGAGCCCAATTTGCCAAAAATTTGTGAGGAAGCCAACTACAAAGCTAGGAACACACTGAGGTTTTTCATGTACTTGTCTCAAGCAGTGCCCAAGACACGCTGCCTCCCAGATGCCACGCTCAGATGGCATCTTCCATCGCTGCCCAGCCCATTCCCAGCAGCATCGCACCAAGTGGGGCTGTGACAAGCTGGCAACTCACCAGTCTGGAAACGGGATTTCAGCACGTCTGGTGGAATGGCAACCGCCCAGTTGAAGATCCCAGCCAGGCCCCCAGCAAAGAGGATCCTAGGCACACTGAGGTCACTCACACTGCGGTAGGATTGGGGTGGGGCAGGAGGAAAAAGAATAAAATACAAGTGAAAACACATCTGCTTTGACTAAGGTGACAATCAAAGACACAGCCTGGCTGACAGCCAGAAGGCAGCACAATGCTACAGACACGGAGTGCAGCATCTGAGCAAGATTTCCAAGAATCAGAGCCCTGTGGGCAAAATGTACCAACTCCATGCTAAAGCTGCAAACCTTTTCATTCAGCAGCACACACACAGATGCTCTGGGGGAAAAAACAACCAGCCAACCAACAACAAAAAAAAAAACACAAACAACAAAACCCAACAAGAACCCCCAGCTCTTTGACCAGACACAGATGTGAAAGCGAGGAGACCTACTTCAATTATTCTTTACTTGGCTAATAGGATGCAAGTCTAGAATCTGAGAGAAACTCAGAATACTATTCCAATTGTCAGTTAACCCCAGACCAAAACAGCTCAACTCACACAACAAGCGACGTTGGTTTTTTTTAAATTTGTTCCGATGATACCGCTCTAAATCTCTTCATAACTGGGGAGATTAATCAGCAGTGCCTGGGAAGTCCAGAAAATGATGACTGTGAGATTTCACTAACTTTTTTCCCTCAGGGGTCAGAATGTTCTTCAGCCATTCGTACGTCATGAAGTACATTCCGCTGGCTGGGACGTCTAATGGGTAAACAACAAAGACCGTGAGTAGTGGGAAATGAAACGAAGCCTAGAGGCACAGCAGTCCCATGCCAGCTCAGCAACATCACTAAGTACATCCAGATTCCTTTTCTGAACCTCCTCTACAAACAAAATAAAATCTTCTATTGCTCTAGACAGAGGAGCTTGAACTTTCCCAGGGGGAGCAGGTGCTAAAGGCAAGAATTGGGAAAATATCTGTTCTCGAGCGTTTCTGTCAGCAGCCTTTCAAATCAGACTGTCACCTGCCTGCTGGTCATTAAGCTAATGATGAGATAGCTGTAAGCTTTCTTAATTGCTGCATAGCAGATCAGAGCAGTTCAGGAACTTGAAGAGTTTTGCACAGGATTTGCTCTAATGATTCTATTTTGGGTTGGTTTGTTTGGTTGGTTGGTTGGGTTTGGGTTTTTTGTGGTTTTTTTAGTTGATGGGTTTCATTTTGGTTTTTTTTTAAGGTACTCCCACTAGCCCATTCTTAGCTCATGCCTAAACTAGAGAACAAGCCTCCGGCTAGGGACACTGCCAGAGTTACATTGCCGGCTGGTACACTTCTATGAGAAGCAGAGGACAGAACAAATTCCTAAACTGAGATATCAAAACACAGAAATTTCAGCTTATCTTTGGGAAATGCTGCCCCAGTACCGGGAACAATCTAAAGCTTTTAAGAGGAGAAAGTACCAAAACATGTAAAGGATTCAGTGTCTGGCACAATCACTTTGTTATTGTGAGAAGGGTCATGACATTCCAGTCCAAAATAACCCACACTCAAGCAGGTAGAAAGCATAACTGCTGCAATCACATCTTTTAGAGCAGTCAGCATTATACAGCAACGGTCACAGACAGTCACAACCCTTCTCCTAAGAAAGAAGGGGGAAAAAAAAAAGAAGAAAAAGAAAAGAAAAAAAAGCCCACTTCTATTTTTCTTTTATATTTGTTCTCTGCTCCTCTCCTGAAGTCTCTCATTCCTCTTGGCTTCTCAGATCTTAATTACTTCCTACATCCCTCTGATCCTTGCCATCTAATCTCTTCCTCACTCACTGAGAATCTCATGTTTATTTCTCAGTCCCTTTGCGGCACTGGAGTGCTTTGCAGACTGCAAAAAAAGAAAAAAGGGTGACACCGCATCTCCAACTGGCTAAAGGGACAGCGAGATCTATGACACTATGTCAGGCTTCTTATCTTAAAGCACCCCAGGCAGAACAAGCATCAGAATGTCTCCATCAGTTACCTCTCATGAGGGTGAGCACTGTCCCCTTGTACACGCCACGAACCCCAGCCTCGCGGTACAGCTGTTTTGCACAGTCCAAAGGGCCACTGTATTTAGTTTCACCTGTTGCTGCCTGGATCTGAAGGATTAAAGTGATAGTTTCTGACTGGTGAAGGTTTCTGGCTGGTGAACAATCATTCAGCTAATAGCTGGAAAGCCATGTGCCTGTTTCCAGAGAGGAAGGGCACATGCTCGTTCCACAGGCGCTCCTGCATATGAAACCTCTGCGCCACTTCCTCAAGCAGCTCTCTCATGTTCAAGCTCAGGACATGTTTCCTGTTCCATGCAGCCACTAGATTGTCACTTATTTTTCCACAGTGTAAGTTTGAAACAACTGAAGTCAGTCAAGTAATTCTACACTTGCACTGGCAAAAAATAGCCTTCAAATAGTTCAGCAAAATTCAAACAATTTGTGTGTGTATAAAAGCTTCCCTGATAATACCACGTCTGTCAGAACTATCATGTGACCACCCATCAGCATACTAACGGAGTTCAACATAATCTGAAAGAAGCAAAGCTTCCCATTTCTGCTAAAGATGGCATTTTCAGTTGTTCAGGTTTACATTTCCCGACAATACTCTAAAAACGCGTCAAGCTAATAGTTACCCAAACACTTGAAAACTGTTTCATGTATTTTGAAATGCATTCCTTAGTTATGTATTGGGAACGTGTCAAGCTAACAGAAAACCTTTACACTAGAAAGAGTCTTATGATCTAGTAGTTTTGCATTTTTTTAGAAAAAGTTTCATTCTGAAAAACTGGACTTTTCCACACTTTGAAGTGGACGGAGGCATCCACCGCTGCCTCGTATAATGCCACGTAGCATAAGGCTTGTGCTCTGTAAAACGAATAGAGCAACGAATGTACTTAGGTACTTGTACTGTCATGGTGAGTTTGTGTAACGCTTCTCCGTGACACAGTTGCATTAAATGACAGTTGTCTCAGTCCTGCCAAAAAACAGAACAGAGTAAATACACTAACCAAAGTAGTTCCTGGTATGGAAAGACAAGACCCCTAAAATTAAATTCCCATCACCACCCCTCAATGCCTTACCTGTAAAAGGCACTTGATTCTCTCTCCTGGAGCCATGATTACTGTTGTGAACACTCCCGACAACATGCCAGCAGCAAACAACTGAGGATATCTGCCCCGGGGAAACAGAAGAGACCCTGACGCAACACAGCACACAGGGAACAACGGGCAGAAAGACCCCTGTTCCGCGCAAGGCTGGCCCTGGAACTAGAAATGCATCCGCTGCTTTTGATCCGTGCAGAAGTGCCTCATCAATTCACAATTAGAGCTAAACATTTAAGATCTCTAGGACCCAAAGTGCTGGTTCCCACAGCAACCGTAACTCAGCTCTTCACATCCACTCTATTTACTAATATTCCTTGTACTTGCACTTCTTGCTACAGCATTCCCCATTCAGTTTTATTCCCAACAGTCTCTTCCTCCTCCAGTCTCCCGCACTCTACTCCATGACCCAGCTTCCACACGTATTCCTGCCTGTGCAGCCAGAAGCCTCCTTTCTGTAACCTCTCAGACTCTCACTCCTTCAGCCTCTGCCATCGTCAAGTCTGGCCTGCCAACCTGCCATCATCCCACACGTTCTGCATCTGCTTTCGTGGGGCAAAATCTCCATGGAAGAAATCCCTTAATCAGGCTGAGTTCCTCCATCACAAACTTATCTTTATGTCCAACCTCCTGGTAGCTTCCCTAGTAAGATGACCTAACATCTTGATTGAACTAAATACCACCCCTTCCGCTTCTCTCCACTTGCTCAGGAGATGGCATCCAGTTCAGGTTTTCCAGTTCTTACACCTTCCTTTACTCTTAAATTCCCATTAAATCTCCCAGACCATTCAGACCTCCCTCACCATTCCACATGCACCTCCTGCTCAAACTAAGCTTTGAGTTTTCTAGCTCACCTTAGGATTATTCAGCTCCAGGAAAGATAGAACAGGTTCCTCAAGTTTCTTTCCAATTCCTTCCTTGCAAAACTTCCCTTAAAAAACCAACATGGGGAACCACTGCCATCCTGCCTCCCTCTAGACCCATAACCATGGTGCTAAGAGTCATAGAATCACAGAATGGTTTGGGTTGGAAAGGACCTTAAAGATCATCTAGTTCCAACCCCCCTGCCATGGGCAGGGACACCTTCCACCAGACCAGGTTGCTCAAGGCCTCACCCAGCCTGGCCTGACCTTTCCTTTTGGGCCTCACATCCCAGGCACACTCTGTCTTGCTGTGTAAAGTCTACACCCAAGGTACAGCACAGCTGGGCACAACGACAGTTCCACCGTCTATTTGTTCTTTCTCTCCCGCTGCTCT